CCACCCACAGGTCGAAGGCTGGGTAGTGATTACCAGGGAGATAAACATTGTAGACTTTTGAGAGTCAGACATCCTTTTGGAGCACCTCTGAGACTGAAGCGCCAAGCACTTTGCTGATGCCTGCTAATATCTGGAGAAACTTATGGGTTGGTAAATTAATGTATAACTCTATAATAACCTACAACTGTTAAAGTGTGAGTATTTAGCGCTAAATGTCAGACAATTACGCAAAAGTTACTATAAATACGGCCACCAATTACGGAGAACTAAACAAGTTAAAGTTCACAATAATGGATAATCAGCATAACATAAGAATAGTACTACACTATAACTGTGGATAAAGTGTTAAAGGTATCTACACGCAGTGCTAATACCTAGCCGGCCGTGAAATACAAAACAACATCCACGAAGGACCACGACTGGTTAGCAATTCAAAATGGCGGAACGAAACAATGACAAAATGTCACCTTCACGTGCTAATAAATAGAGAATGAGTGTCGTATTTTATTTATTACCGACATCAAATATACATTTAAGTGTAAATACACAACTTTTGTTCGTTGACAGACCAAACTGAAACCGGTTGCAAAATCTGGTTGTGCATGAATATTGATATATGCCCAAATATGGGCATTGTTGACATTTCTATGCATACGCATTAATAACATGTGCCTGCAGTTGTGTTTGCAAACATAACAACGCTCAAGATCCTTTTGGAAGAATTTCTTCAACTTAAGGTAATTCAAGCGCCATGTTGTTGGTACGCAGGACACCTATAAAGAAAATTTGAAAAGTCACATGAGCCCCGAACTTTGAATATCAGACCAACAGTCGGTCACTCGCAGTGCATTCAAAATGGTTCGGTTTCCTTGGTCTATTAGCTGAATTATATCATGTCCGTACCATTTTGGAAGAAGGAATCAGAGTGTTCGCCAAAGACATTCATGTTAACTGTTCCACCCTATACTGAAGACCTGAAAATCAACAAACTCAAGTCTGCTTGCATGTAAGTGACATCTTCGAACGAAGGGCAAGGTCACCACCGGAATAAGAAAAGTGATCGTGAACCGTGATCTTATCACAGCGTTTTACGCTAGAGATTGGGAATGTTATTGTTCACATTTGGGATATTTTGGGCCACATAATCAGAGTTTTCGGATGATTTGTATCGTAAATGTCCACTTTTTGTGATCTGGTCGTGCAGTTGTGAACAAATAACTCCCGAAACAGTGCCACAAAATACCCTTCGAAGTGGACACTAATGGCACAACCAGATCATCGAAAGTAAGTCTAGATTTTTTACCAGATAGCTTAAACTGACTTCATTTCACCACGCTTTTCCTGTTACGTTAAATCAAATTGGAAGTTTGCGAAAATGGTAGGGTGCATCACGCTCATGGGGACATTCGATCTATTGATTGGTAGTCGTACATTGTAAATGGATATAGCTCGATTATATAATGTCAGTAGGAGCTCTATGCATAGCTTATATAGAATGCAAACCGAATTTGATGCGTGTGACTATCTTGTTTGGTTTAATAAGGTGTTTGTAAATGTCTCTCGCTCTCATGAGATTGCTTCAGTTCTGCCTTGTAGTTGCAAAATGAATGAAGTCTCGTGATTTGTTTATGAATGTAAAAAGTAGTCCTGGTGTGAAAGAGGTCACGGTTATCCAATCAAAATGAATAAAACAAGGTCAACCTTGGACGACACACGTTTGACGTACGGATTCAGTATCATACCACCTGTATCTTCACCAATGGGTAATGATACATATTATTGCACACAAAATACACCAAACAGGACACCATTCATCACAGGTGGAAAGATAAAGGATTTTCGATGGAAGAGTTGAGAGCCACAGGGACAGCAAACAGCAAAAATTGAGGACCAATTAGCAGCACATGTGTTCTGTTTTGTGACCAACAGTGATATGAAGAGATCATCAGTTGTCTGCCGCTTCCAGTATGACAGGGCAGCTAGTGATTGTTGAAGGGTCCTGCTTCTGAACGGAACTTTTCTTTCTTCAGCAGGATAAATCACAGCTTCACTACTGTCAAAAAATAAGCAGTGAATGCATTAAGGAGTAATGCAGGACAAATTAAAAAATATGAATATATGTGTTTTACTTGATAACCTCGACCAAAATAAATGTTACAGTATCATCAGTATGACTTGTGAAACATTTAGGGAGGACATGTACTATTCTGGTCCCCCACCCCAAGCCAATCATGAGAAGGGATAAAACTTAGAAAAATAATGGCCACAAACATGGCTGCCATACAAAAAATGTACAATTTTTGCATCATGAACAGATTGTGGTGTCATCATTGGTGGGAAAAACAAAAATGTTTTTGACAGGCAAGAAATAAAAACAGAATGATTTTTTAAATCATTTTCCCTGTATCATGTAATCAACAGTTTTGAATTTTTCTGTAAAAAAATGGTTTTACTCAAAATCATCACATAGTACTCAAATTGAGATCAGATGCAAAAGACCTACACAAACATTTCAAGTACTCACTCAAGTAATGACAAGCTGGAGGCTTTATGGTTTAGAACTACACAGCATTCGGCATATATTTTCACAAACAAGAAAAGATGTCATTACATTTAAGGTAATGTCATTTGAGCAGAACTGCATAACATTTTCACCTTTAATATTGAGAGAACTTAATCATGTTAATATTGAGAGAAATAGAACTTTCAGGATTTATGTCATATGATTCTCAGACTGCAAATAATGTCATTACTCGTAGCCTGACAATCCACTTCACTCTGGCTTGAGTTGAGGTTGTTGTTTTGAAAACTATCATGACTATTTTCTGCACCGTGATTTTATTAGGGGTGTGCATTGTTTTAAAAAGCAGGAGTGATCGCCCCATGATCGTAGGTTGTTTATATTATTTTGCACTTTAGGGGGTATTATGCTGTAAAATACATATAATTTGTTGAGTATTATTATAAAAACGATAACGTGACATATCAGCAGTGTTTTAAACCACATTTTCTCCATATTTGTGAACTTTTGGAAGAGTCAATTTTTTTATGGAGGGTAAAAATTTTGTGCTTGTCATTTGGTATATTTTGGGTGCATTTTCATGGTTTAGCATAGGAAATGTGTTATTATTATTATTTCAAATTGAAGTGTTTGGAGGCCAGCCATACAATAATGAAAGGACATGTTTTAAGAGTATTTAATCTTCCATTTGGAAGAGTCTATTTTTTGAAGGGGCATTTTGTAAGTCCATGTGAGAGAATGCCTCTAATTTCCTGAGGTAATGTGGAATGCAGATAACAAATGTATGTTTGAAGCATCATTTATTATTTCTGAGTTTTATTTATTTACAGAATATTCCCTTTGTAAAGCTAGCACCACCAGGTGCACTTGCCAACTTACATCCAATTACATCAACAAGTATTTGTCACAGAGTGACGAAATATCCCCCGCCATATACACCATAGTACCAATATGAAGACAATCCAGCGATTAGTTCTTGAGATATTGTGGCAACACCGTTTTCCAACTCCAAAAACAGATTTGCCTGCTGTGACCTTGAAAATGGGGTCAAGGTCACCAAATCTGACAGGTGTATGCGGTGTCTGTATATACACTATAGTTCCAAATATGAAGACAATCCAGCGATTAGTTCTTGAGATATCGCGGCAACACCGTTTTCTAACTCCAAAAGCAGATTTGCCTGCTGTGACCTTGAAAATGGGGTCAAGGCCACCAAAACCGACTGGTGTCTGCGGTGTCTGTATATACACCATAGTTCCAAATATGAAGACAATCCAGTGTTTAGTTCTTGAGATATCGCGGCAACACCGTTTTCCAACTCTAAAAGCAGATTTGTCTGCTGTGACCTTGAAAATGGGATCAAGGTCACCAAAACCGACTGGTGTCTGCGGAGTCTGTATATACACCATAGTTCCAAATATGAAGACAATCCAGTGTTTAGTTCTTGAGATATCGCGGCAACAAACAGGTGGGACGTATGGACGGACGTACGGACGGACGGACGGACGGTCGTGAATACTATATCCCCCGCTTCGCGCTTTCGCGCGGCGGGGGATAATAAAGGGATATAAGAAGAGATCCTTCGCAGTCATTGTTCATTCAAAACAGTTGTAGTAGGCAAGTATTTCCCCCAACAAATCAGCCTGGAAATGCATGATGAATGTAATGATTTCTTAGGCTTTTGTAAATGGCAGTGAAGGGGTGCTTCTGTTTTGCAAGTAATCTCCAACTCTTTTCTTGTTACCTTAAACATGTTAATAGTGACGTGACGTCTGATAGAAATGTAATTATTATTGATATTGGTATCATTTGTTTAGACATGAAATACCAAGTTTCGTAGACAATAGAATTACATGTCTTGAAACTGTGATGGGCAGTTCAAGGAATTAAGATTTGTGACAACTGTCATCCTGCGAAATAAAGTAAACATTTGGCAAATCCTTTGCTGCCTCCAGCTAAACACGTGTCTTCGGTTTCAATGTACTTTTGGTGATGATATTTCCAGAAGTGTTAGTGAAATTGCCATACCAGCATAGGTTACACAATACTCAATGAGTGCCCAAAGCTTTCGATCATCAAACAAAGTCCAATTCTGTTTCACCACTTACAAACTGAAATGTTCTGGATTCGAACCTTTTTCTACTGTTTACAGAGGTAATGGAAATAATCCTAATATCTGCATAATGTGTGTGGGTTAAGCCCATGCCCGTCACTTCAAAATGTCAAAATATTTACATTTTTGGATATTGGTGGATTTACCTTTCCATGCCATTTTGTAGCAGAGTTTTTATACGTGTAGCAGTGACAATTTCCATATCGCCAGGAAATTCTTTTTGTTTCATAATACTGAATTCCACAGGTTAAGTCTTTTGTCATTGAAAGAGTACTTTACTTTAAAAGCAGGGTGGAGAATGCTATTCCAGAGATAGTCGGGAAGAAAAGGATATGAGAGCTTGTGAACAGATCTTTTGTCACTTACCGTAAGATTAGGAGGATTAATGGCCGGGTATATATTTACTATTTCTTGGAGTAGAGCTGCAATTGTGCCAAATGAATGCCACAGCATTGGTGCCAAGTCAGGAACAACCTCTCTCTTCTTACTGCAAGATATAGGTTTAACTGATTGAGCTGTAAGGATTTGATAGACACAAGTCATTGTCAAAATGGTGGCAACCAATCAGTGCTTTACCAGTTGGTTGTAAGCCCAAACTTGATTATCAATCACATAATCATAATCACATATACCTCATAAAATTGATTTCAAATCAAAACAAGAATCATCCGAAGATGACATATCCCCCCGACCTGGCATGTCGGTAAACTGTGTGTACCTTCAAATGTATTTAGATTGGCAAGGAAATCTTTTTCCTTGATGCCGAAACCAGAAATATAATGAAGGTTATTAAATATTGGTTCATGTAGCTCACTTTCTGATGATCTCAAATGTCAGGGACTACAAATTAAAAAGATTAAAATCTATAAATAACAAACTGCACTACTAGTGAACATGATTGATATGTGCATAAAGTTTGGTGAATCTCTGTCGCATGGTTTAGAAGATATGCTCCAGACGAGGACATTACCCTAAGTTCATAAATTTTCAATTTAAATTGAAAAAAGAAAAAAGAAAAAAAATCTGTTAATAGCAAAGGCACCACTACATACCTGTTTGATAGGTGTAAAAACTTTTGAGAAGCTAAGTTGTATGGTTCGGGAGATATGGTCCGGACAAGAGCACTCCCCTCAAATTTCCTAATTTCATCATATTTCCATAGATACGACAAAAATATAAAATTCTAAAAATCTCTAAATAGCAAAAGGCACTTCTACAGAGCCTGATTGTTAAGTGTACCAAGTTTTGCAAAGCTAGGTTGTACCGTTTAGAAATTATGCTCTGGACAAGAGCAGCACCCTCAAATTTCCTAAGTTCATCATATTTCCATGGAAACGACAAAAATAAAATATTCTAAAAATCTCTAAATAGCAAAAGGCACTTCAACTGAGCCTGATTGTTAAGTGTACCAAATTTTGTGAAGCTAGGTTGTACGGATTAGGAAATATGCTCCGGACAAGAGCACTACCCTCAAATTTCCTAATTTCATCATATTTCCATGGAAACGACAAAAATAAAAAATTCTAAAAATCTCTCAATAGCAAAAGGCACTACTACTGAGCCTGATTGGTAAGTGTACCAAGTTTTGTGAAGCTGGGTTGTAAGGTTTAGGAAATATGCTCCAGACAAACAATGATTACAGATGGATGGACGGACGGATGGACAGACGGAACCTTGGTATATCATCCGGGTACTCACGGGGAAAAACAATAACAAAGGCAACAACCAGTCCCGGGGAATTGCTTTAGATCAGTTCCCATTTAAGGTAAACAAACAGGTGATAACAATTAAACTTGGTCAATACAAATTTTAAATCTTAGATAAAACATCACAAGACTTGATGATTTACCATTTAAATTGAGTTATTCAACATACATTGAGCCAGTACTACTCAGAATAACCAATTTCAATATCAAAAGTAAGTGTACATAATGATATTATCAATTATGGTGGTTGTTTTCAATACAATGACAACTGGCAAAACACAGCTAAATCAAGACTTTGTGTGAGATCTTTAAGATTGTATTAATTTCATTCATGATGAATATACACAAAAAGAACACATCTGTTCACTATTCTATTATTACATTTATATACACAGAACTATACAGATAATACATATGAGATCAAGCTACAAAAATATGTATGCATAAACAATAAAACACACCAAAACTATTCAATCACACAGCTCATACAACAAAAGACGTTCACTCCTGACCCAAGTAATCTTACATAACATCTTTAAAGCTCACAGCTTACATACAAATAAACTGAAGAATGTGCGAGTTAAAATTTAATGTCACATCTGCATTATTTCAGCTATATAGCAACGGGACCAAGTTTATATATTCACAAGTGAGTCATTTAAGAAAAGTTATATTGAAAACAAATTTCATGACACACATTTGGGAATAACAATAAATAGGCCTATCATACAGTTTAAAACACAGGCTACAGGCCACTAACAACCAAAGTTAGGCCACCTTGCTGGGGATCATGGGGACTTACGGTACCTCAGCTTCCTGCAAGCTAGCCTAGCATTACTTAAGCTATTGGTGGTTGTGCACAATATTAGCCAATATTAAAATATATTCAACAATGAGTTGACTTAAAAACACTGGTTGATGTTAGTTACATCAATTATGACAGGAATAACCTGTCACACAGGGGGACGATTATTTTACAGTACTTTAACCTCCTGGACAGAGCCTTCAATAACGTCAGCTGATTATAGCATCACATAAAATTTTAAAACAAGCAATTTATTATTTACAAACAAATTTTAAAATTTATTATACAGATCAATTTCTTTTAAGTAACTGAGAATTTGATGCCTGCTTACACGAAAAAAAAGATCTTTCAGATTTACTGTTTGATCATGTGAATCCCTTGCAACTGCAAAGTCCACACAGTCAAGCAATATGCTTGAAGGTAAACCTTTCATCACAAGGGATACACTTAGGAGGTAATGTAAACGCCATGTTCAAAGTAACAGGGGCAGCAACAGCTTGTAGAGTAGTGTTGAGTGGAACAGGGCTATGGATTATGCCCTGCTTCACCAGGACAGAAGAACCTCCTGTAGCTAGCTTTATCACCAGGAGGGGAAAACGAGTGGTAAGAACTGTACTGACGGATATCAAATAGATCTGATTTTTAGTTATGTTTCTTGCAGACAAAAACCTGACAGTTTAAAATCTTTGATTAAAAGTTGTACTTCATTTTAGTTCTTCTTAAGAATTCTGCAATTGTTATTCCATTGTACTATGTTTTGTGGATTCATGGTGGTGCTTCCACAGGAGAAATAACACGAATAAGACTTTGTTGTACTCCTATTTGTTTTGTGTGCAGTTACCTCTATGTCCAGAGGACCAAAGTAGTTATATGGACCTCTACTGGGACCTCTAAAGGAGAGATGGCCTTGGTGTTGGTGCTTGTATTTCTTTTTGTTGATTTTGTTTAAGAATTTTCGTTCTTTCTTGGTGAGATGAACAATTTCTGGTTCTGGTTCTGGAGTTGATTTTGGAGTCTGCGACTTGACGTTTTGGACAGTTTTGGGAGGAGTCACAGATGAAGGTGTCACAGCTGGTTTATGGAGTGAAGCAGTTGGAAGTGGCTGGACAGACTTGACCCATGTTAGATCAGTCTGGCAGTCTATTGTGGTTTCTGTAGAACCTTAAACCCTCTTCTTAGCTTCGTGGTACGAGACATTTTGTTCAGTTTTGACTTTCATGATTTGGGACTCGCGTTTCCACACAGGACAGGATTTTAAGGAACCCATGTGGTTCCCACCGCAGTTTGCACACTTCAAGTCCTTCTTGCAGTCAGTGGCCTCGTGTTTGTCACCGCAGCGGTAACAAAAAGCAGAGGCATGGCAGGACTTGGATCCATTTCCAAACGCTTTGCAGGTGTAGCTCCGGAGAGGACTGGAGATATACACCTCTACTCCAATGCTACAATAAACAGCTTTGATCGATTGAGTGATAGTCTTTCAGGCGAAGGTAATGAGGTAGGTGTTGGTCAGTTCGACACACCATCCTTCTTTACAGTGAATCGTTTGACAGATGTGACGGACTGCTGGTCAAGATCCTTGGTAATGTCAATGCTCTGTCACGGACAATGCCCTTACAGTTCACACTCTTGTGCACTCATTACCAAGAAACGTGGCCAATAGTCAGATAGAGTGGGCGGAGTAGTTTCAGCAGATTCAATGTGTAGTCTTTTTGGACAAGGGTGTTGGGAAGCCATGTCGAAAGGGAAATGATTCATCACCCCTTTTCCCCACCCACCATGGAGTGTCAACAAGGACAGTCTTATGCTGCAGTGGACCTCCGAGCTGCAAAGACCGAGGATATAGGGGTGCATACTCCAGCAAATTTGACTTGAAAAGCTATAGCATTCTACCAAATTAAAGGTCAGGCTGGTTTGGTCCATTGACAATTAATTGGAGAAGTACAGAATTCGGAGGCAAGCATCACTAGTTTGGCCTATGAACCACCGCCTTCCGGCCATAGGGCTCTAATCAATTATTATAGATTGAGACATATATAACCATTCATAAATTTATTTCGAAATACCAAACGTTTGTGCGAAATAGTGTATCCACAGGGCATGACATAACCAGCCGACTGATAGAATTGGGCGCATTCAACACCTGTATTGGCAAAGTGAGGGTCAAAGTGGTGTGATGGACTTGGGAGCACTACTGCCAGCTCCCTTCCTCTGCCAACAAATTAGTTTGTAACATCCATCAGTAAAGCGGTTTGCTGTAATTTTTTATTCATCAGGATAATAGGTAAAGTGACAAGTTTTAGATAGTGTGATTTGTTTGTGATTTTGTTTGTTGTTTAATGCCACACTCGGCAATATTCCAGCTATATGACAATGGTCTGTAAATAACTGAGTCTGGAGCAGACCATCCAAATCATGAGCATCAATCCACGCAATGGGGATACAATGACATGCATCAAGCAAGTCAGCGAGTCTGACCACATGATCCTGTGAGTTTCCTCTTACAAGCATAGTCGCCTTTAATGGCAAGCATGGGTTGCGCAAGACCTATTCTACCCCGGATCTAGGTAGTGTAAATTTGCAATTAAAAAGTTATACTAGATAAGAAAGGTTGCCCTGCGGGCAATAAAATTTAGAGACCCTGCGGGTCAGTAGAAAGAGTGATACCCTGTGGGTGTGAGTGAAAATGAAAATACTTTGGAGACTGCAAGCCATATAATGATAGTGTACAGAATGATTGACTTGCCACTTCCGAGCCAGCCCCTTGGTGGAGATGGGGATGGATGAAGGGTCGTAATGACAGCTGAGAGAACAATTGGAACAAGCTAAACGACATTGAGGCTCTTGTTGTTAATACAGATAAACAAAATGATGTCACATCCGTAGTACTGAGCATGCTACGTAGAAAAAATATTGCATTCTGGGATAGAAAATAGTAACTGGATACAGAGAAGAAATATGATCGTTCACGGACAATTCTGAATGATAAATGACAACTTGAAATAAAGGGAAAAAACCTTACGTAGGTGACAAATATATACATATGTTGTGTAGACATCAATGTTAATAATAGGTGATCACTGCACAAACAAAAATATAAAAATCAACCTTATATATGGTGGAAACTGCAACTAAAAATACACGATATTGGAATATATTATTCCTGATAAAATGATAATTTCAGATACAATTTCTTGAAATCTTAACTACGGTTTGTAGTTTGTACGGTTGGGAAGCTGTAACGCATGAATTGTTCTTTTCATGTACTTTGAAATGTCTTTCACTTTCAGCCTTAAAGTATTCAAATATTCAAATATTTTAACAACGAAACCTTTCGCATCAGCGGAAAGATGCTTGCGCTGAGACATCATGAAATCTAATGCTAACACCGTATTCGTGCATGCGTGATTCCCGTGCAACCTTTCGAGTTGAGTTGATTGGTTCAACTGTGTCATATGTGACGCAGGGGTAGCATTATACAGATGGCTGTTACAATGAATGCTCGTTCCACCCGTAACGAACAGGTCTGGTTGTTGATGAAATATAGTGATAGCTAAATAGACAGATTTTTTATTCATGCACCGATTGTCTTTAAATGTAATATCCAATTATGTATGACTGTTTAATAATCTCATACCAACTTTGACGGGAGTAGGTCCAATAGTTTTTCAGATATTATAGTAAACGTCAGTACCTTAAATTAACTTTCAGACTATATCATTGGGTACTTTTTAACTGAATCACTGTGAGGAAACGTGTGCACAGCTGATTGCTATTTCCGGCTTAGTTTACGAGAAAATACACAAGGTATTCTTAACCTCTGCATATAAAACAATGTCTTGGAGAGCAGGAAATATATTTTAAATTTAAACGGTAAATCATCATGTCTACTGATGTTTTACATCAAATTTCATACTTTTATTGACCAAGTTTGGTCGGTAGGCAGAGCATGTATACTGTTTTGTTGGTCATCTACCACCTACAACTCGACCTTCGTTAAACCACTGATCATCTACAACGCTCATCAATTATTTGGATCCCGAAGTAGCGTTGTAGCGAGGGATCACTGTAGGTTTTAGTTATTCTCTGAAAATGACACCTACCTCCGTTTCAGCTAAGTCTAACTTGTTTCCATGGAAAACAGGGGAAAAGCAAATTTTGAAAACTTTCTAAATAACAAATGGCACCACTTTAGCCCTTGGTTAATATTTTTCTTGTTCCAGGTTTGGATGAAAAGTCTTTCATGGTTGTGCTCCAGAAACAAAAAACACCACCCATTTTGAGTCCCAATTGTCCCAAATATTCACAGTAATATTTATATGATCTATTTTTCAAATATCTTGCCTCTAAACTTGTTTATTTATGACAAACATTTCAGAAATCCAGGTATTTCCACTGAAATTGACACTCGCGGCATGGCCTCCCTCTCAGAATGTAGACACACAACACGAACTGGCGTGCAGAAACATAAATGTGTCCAGTGCTGACATGTTGGGTGAGTACATTGTTCCCATGTTGTAATTATTAATGAGACACTAGCTTGAACCTCATCAGGTACAAATTGGTTACATTTGCAGCAGAGTTCTCCATCATTTGTCCCATCACTATCGTATGAATCAAAACTATCCTCCTGATGCGCGTTGGTCTGTGAATTTCCAGATTTACTTATTTGTGACAGTGACAGTAGTTATATTTTAAGATTTACATGGTTTAGGTGCTTGCTTGCTTTTTGGGGGTGCCAATTTCACAGTCTGGTGGGAAATAATTTTATTTAGAATGACGTCTTCAGTGATGGCCTTGCCCTCGACAACAGCTCTCAAAACATTTCTCATTTTAGTGGGCAAAGCTTTCTTGAAAAGTACAGTAGTCTAGTCTTTAAAGAATCCTGCTACATCAATGCCCTCAGGAGGTGAAGTGACATTCTTGTCTCAAACTGGCACACTTGAATCAATAACACCCGTATCAGGATGCAGTGAACGTTCAGTCGACTTAAAAACTGTTGATGGTGCAGAGTTGATATTGGCGGTGGAAGACTTGTCAAATGGGTAGACTCCACATTTCCTGAAAGAGGATTGCAAAATTGTTGATGTCAGCGACAGGTTATAAGCTCTACAGCCAAGTTCACAGACCGAATGTTTATTAACTGAACAAGTTGCATTTTCCCACATATACGTATGAAGGAGGTTATTGTAAATTTTATCAAAAGTCCAAAGCAACCAACATCCATTGGCTGTAAAACATTGGAAGTGTGTGCAGGCAGTACAACAGGCAGTACAACAGGCAGTACAAAATAACGTGATGCTGACAAGACCATTTGATCAGTGGAATAGATACGTGGGATCTATGACCATCGTACACAATAAGAAGTGGACTATCCGCAGATAGTGTTGAAAAATCTCTGTGTTTGACCAGCCACTGTCGCTTACAGTGCCTGCCACCCCAGGGGTACTTCCTGAAAGGAGTTCTTCTCCCATCCTCTTGCCCTTGAATACAAAATATGGTGGTATAGAAACTACCAGATGCATTGCTGCAACCTATAACAGTTGTAGTACTTGATCTTGATGTTGTCACTGCAGCTGGAGTACTCTGAATAACTCGATGTGACTACATATGGTTGGACATGATTCTCCATAAGTCCCTTTTCATCAACATTATAAATTCGATGAGGTTGTACTTATCCATGATGTGTTCAAGCTCATTAAATAATGAGATAATGGGATCATAGCTTCTTCACAGATAGATCAGGCCATCACTTCATAAATCCATAGAACCACTGAAGTGATAGGGGTTGTTCATCCTTTGTCTTCTTTCCAAGATGAATTGCTAGGTTTGTGGCAATAGTAGTAACCTCAGCCCTAGTATAGCCATACCCAAAATTTGCCATGGCGTCAATATGTGAAACAAGTCCCTATTCTTCTTCTATGGACAATAGCGGTTCTCTACCAGTGGTACTACATTCAATAGAAATTTCCCCACTATTACTGTCATGAGGCGTCGAAAATGGAACAGCAAAGGTAGTGGCAGCTTTCCTAATTGCCATTCCATCCAAAACAGAATTATATGCCTTGTCTAGGGCTGAAGACAATTATTGCCTATATTGGTCTCTTCTGTTTGGTTAATCATTCGTCAAAACCTGTCAAAATGAAGCTTTATTTTATATGTCATCAAAACTACAGAGACAGAAGTTCTCAAAAAGCATTAAGTTTTCAATAAAAAATTACCCTTACTTGTTTCCATGGTTTTAAATTTTGGCTAGGACATTACACGTTTGGTCACATGACATTTACACCGGGAAAGTAAACAAGCAGACAATAGGTGTGCCGTCAATTTACAACGTGTGAATTTATTACAATTGACATCTTATTTGAGCTGATTAAGTTACATTAGTGACCTAGGGTTAAAATTAGTTTGCTTAATATGAACTATAACTTACGTTGGGTAACTTGACACGAAGCATTTTCCAGTCCAAGCGAACGGAAGCGGTGTTGCAAGAAGATCAAAGCTGCAGGTACCGTAATTTCTCGTTATATATCACGAGAATTATCATTCTAAATGGCCGATCGAAGTTACATGTAGATGAACTTGTTTGACTTGACGATACTTATTTTGTACACCATACCTAAGTTCCAGCAGAGCATTTTCACGGCTGTCTGGACTGGTGAGCTCATTGATCCATTGATATATTCGCTCTCTATCCACTTGAGGCAGCACAGTTGGTTGTTGTGGGGTCAAGAGTCTCGGCTAAAAACAAAAGCAAGTATGGAACAGAGGTTGTACATCATGTAAAAACAGAAGCAACGCCATTAAGTACTCTCTAATAAAAGGCAAAAGGCTTGATGTAAAGAAAAATATGGTAAAGTAGGTTCCATGCTGACTAGAACTCATAGTCAATATCACCAGTACCAAATCTATCCAAAATAGAGTACCAGTGGTGCAACTCACCTGAATTAGATCATAAACAAGAGTCATTTGAAGTTGACATATACCCCCGGACGCCATATTTTTTATATTATATAAGCCAAATGGGCCAACCTAGTATCGAATACAAAACCTAAGGGATGGGCTAATTTACAAATGGCAGGAATTCAAATTTTAGTGTTTCTTAGATATTGGAGTGAGCAGAGGCTGAGAGATTGGCCTATACACATATACTATGGTATGTCGCATTGGTGTTAGTTAACAGTTTATTTGACATTTGCAACAAGAGTCATCAGGAGATGACAAATCCCCCCCCCAGACCCCACAAATTCGAAAAAAACAAATCATCTGTCTGTTACTTTAGTCCAACTTGAGAGGAGAATTTCTATCTAATCTGCCTGTCCACATACAAGAATAGATATTGAGCTATCAAAATAATACCATGGAAATCGGATTCGAAACTTTATGTTTCCATGTCAGGTACACACTACTATGTACAGACTCAAAATCAGACTTGTTGCCTTGGTCAGAGAAAACATAAATTCTAAAATTACCTAAACCGCAAAAGGTACCAGTTGACATCATATTCTTTGTGTGTGCAGAGTTTCAAGAAAGAATACCTATCAGTGTTCGAAATAGGCATCGGCCCATAGACATGGGGAACCTGAAGGCATTTAGACTGCAATGACATCACATTAAGGATAATAACATCATTTCTGGTTTGGGAAGTACACTGCCAGTGCTAAATGCAGTAAAATCTGAAACCAGTTACAGAATGAATGGTTTCACTTCTGTTATGAGCAAGTCCCATACCTCCAACTATCACAATAAGAAAGTTTTTATATGCACTTCTAACATAATGACATCACTTCCAGTTTAAGAAACATGTGCCTAATTCAGAAAATAATTTAAACCAGAAAGTTCTGTCCCTCCGGCTGCCTTAACCAGAGTCATCAGGAGATGACATGTCCCCCCTGGTCTGGTGCAATTCAGAAATGGAGTTTGGCTACTTATACCCCACTTTTGGTTCATTTGAAGATACTGCAATACATAGGCGTTAATATTCATTGATTACCGAAAGAAAAATCATAAACGGCCAATAAAAATTATTACAATGTGAGTAAATATTCAATGGTTCATAAAACTATCTGATGCACAGGAAATATTTCGCCATATTTTGTCCGAACTCTTTCATCCATTGAGGTACAATAGTAACATTCTTTGGTATAATAGTAACATTCTTTACAAATTGTAGCAAGTCCACACTGAGTGATTCGGCAAGGGACTGAACTCTGCAGTACCATGGTCAAATTTCGCTCTCGGGTGCGGCTATTGTTTTACGTGTTCTGGCTTTGTCCACCAAGCATTTGAGTAGAAAACAACGACTGGTCCCTTTTAGAAGATATTCCAGAGTGGGCACAAAGGTTTGTTTATTTTTTCCCTCTGTAGTTTGTCAATTATTTGAAATATTGATGCACATAGAAACATTTTTTTCAGCCGATGGCACACTTTAGAATATTTTTATCATATACATATATCACTCTTCAGTGTAAATAAATTACTTTAAAGGGGCACTGATCTAACGCAATTCCCCGGACTGGTTGTTGCCTTTGTTATTGTTTTTTTCCCACGTGAGTACCCGGATGATATGCAACGCAACTGAGCGTGACCAGAGACTTGACTACCTTCTGCAAGGACAGCTAAATAAACTTGGAGGCTGGAGGCAATATTTGTTTTACGCATTTTTGCATAAACACTGATTGGTTAACTGTGATCTATAAAGATTTCGACAAAGGGCGCATGTTAATTAATTTCTTCAGCCTAAACAAACAGACAAACAGAACAGCGGAGCTCATCGGATGTCGTCATTTGGAAATACCCCAGATGGTTATAGTTTAATACTAAAAAAAGTATCCATGCAAGGAAAGCATTTTCGGATTTCGGCTTGCGTCGATAATACGATTACTACTCCCTTGTTGTCATCCACGTTTTCTCGTATAACCCCTACACTTGTGTATTTGTCGTCATTCACTTGGTGCTCAGTTAATGAATTTATTACAGGTACAATTAGTGGTAGCGCCACTTAGATTACCTGACAAAAGTTCCCATTTGGCATTTATTGTGTCTGGGGTAATTATTCAATCTAAATCCAGGTTTGAAGTGAGTTGAAAGGTGTGTTATGTAATATGCACGTGGCAGCCCAACAAGAGATGAATGATCAGTTGATTTACTTTTTTTTGTAAATCAACGGATCGTTCCTAGTCATCAAAGGATTAACAGAAAATATGTTGATTGATTAATCACTGTTATCTTGCACAGTGGATATGTCAAGAGTGAGTGTTTACATGTCTAGGTTTACTAAAACAAAGGGAATACACTCATATCATGGCATGAAGTGCCGATGTAAAAACAACATACTTTGTTCAAAGGGTTAACTGATAATACGTTGATTGATTGATCATTGTTATCTATCACTCAATGGATTTTTTAGGAACCGTGGACGTTAGTTGTCACGTGCGCTTTCTCAGCCGTCCATTGAGACTTGACACCTACGTAAAACACCTGAAACAATCCAAGTGATCAGTTGAGAAACGAACACGGGTTATAATATCCCGAAACGAGATATATCTTTTAAAATATCATTTTTGATTGTTACTGAGACACTTGACATCGAATAAGTTTCTTTGTACAGCTACAGACAAGTGGGATATTGTTGCTTTGTGTGGATATTCACGGATACATTCCTCGAACAAGGAAGCTACCTAAAATTTATACACATAAATTTGGTAGGTTGTAATTATGAAATTTGCATTTTGTTTTCCTTCATTTGAACGGATTCGTTCTTGTTTCTCTACGTCTTGGTTGGGACATTCTTCAGTGCGCGATAGACGTTGTTTTCACAGGTCTTTTCCTTTGTAAGCGTGTATATATTACTGTCAATTTGTAAAATGTGATTCTCTCAGGCAAGTTATAAAATGTGTAAATATTTCAGTCATTTTGACTAAAAAATCTGCCCAGGTTTATTAAGACAATCAAAAGGGCCTACAAACATCACAACAGATTATTATGTAGGATTAGAAGCCAAACAACATAGAAATGTACTTTTCAACGTAACATTTTCAGTCTCTTGGTGATGACATTACACATCAAAATGTTTGGAATTCGTTATCATAATAATACAGATGGAAATGTTTTTCAGTCACTTTATAAAATAACTGAATATTTAGACGTTTAATAAATTTGTTACACATTTGACATTAAAAAAAACATACACACTATAAAAAATGCAATGCTCAGGTGAAATATTTACTTTGTGTTGCAAGTCAAAATAGTGTAAACGAAAATCGCAAAATTACCAAGCAAGTGACTTATCAAAACTTCGTCTCCATTACCGATGCTACCCACAAAGATACCTACATTTCCTTATTATCTCGAAAACTGTATTTCATTTTGTTGATCAATGTGACCATACGCCCTTATTACTACCCATAAAAGTGACTAATGTGCTTACGAATGGCGCAGCAGAGGTCGCGAACTAGTCTAGATTTCTGCTATACATCCGGGTACTCACTGGGAAAAAACAATAACAAAGGTAACAACCTCCCGGGGAATTGCGTTAGATCAGTGCCCCTTGAACTTACTTTGTCCACGGGTGCTAACTGACTAAAGCCTGTGAAGGTGGGTGTGTGTTGTCAAGGGCATATAACTCAACGTGTACGTGAAATAAGTTGTGAACTTAACATACTCTATATGTTGTATTTAGACAATTTACAAAACGCAAAAATATTTCAGTTATTTTACAATTATTATATAATATAATGATAACGAATACCAATGCCATTTTATTACCATACATGTTTATGCTCTATCATCATCACCCAGTGGCTAAAAATGATAGGATTAAAAGAAAAAAAAAGTCAATGTCTATTTTATTAAATTATTTGCAAGCGGTTGCTCAAATGATTGAAATAATGACTTTTTTTGGTTTATTATCTCATATCCCTTTCAAAGTGAAAGTCATCTGCTTTTGGTGATTAGTTAATTATGTTAAAATTTGTTTGTTCTGTTTTATTAACAATGTATACTAACTCCAATTCCAATTTTTTTTCGACAAGATTTCAGATTTCAAGGTTTTATTTTGTGGTGTCTTCAGTTTCAAAACAATATTTTATTTCATTACTATCTTCAACACTGGTAATACATGTTAAAAAGTTATTATAATGAAAACATGGTACCAGCTTAAATCCAGATCAGTTCAAAATCATTTGTCTTGACACTCACTCACTTGAAGGCCCGAGTATTTCTCCCATGGGAGAAAATTGTTAGCCTCCCAAGCGGAGCGGAGGGGTGGCTGAAATATGAACCTGATAGAGATCACTGCTCTGGCCATGTGGCTGTGTAGGCATGTGCAGTATGTCATCATATGGCACTTCTAATGTAAATTTAGGTGAGTGAAGAAATGATCAAAAATTCTACAGGATATTTTCCTAACAATTGTTGAAATAACATTCAAATAATTGCATATTGTCAACTACAAAATATCGACATCACACTCTAACAATAAACTTTGTGAATGTTTCTTCTTCTACTATAGCGAATTCTTTTCGTTTCTTCATTTTTATAACTTATACTGCAAATTAATGTGCGACAAGATTACAGTATAAAAATAATATTAAAAAATACCTTATTTTATAGAAATGAACAAAATAAAACAAAATGTTCAATAATTATCAATCATTCAATCTTTGCAAATAATAATGTTCTACACATTCTCCGACTGATGTCTAACATACTCCTCCCTGTCAGCATGGTCAGTCTTAGGCATCCACAGTCATGTTTTCACAAAGAAGGGCATTATGTCCCTCTTATGCTACCTGCAGTGTGTCATCCTTCTGTCTTGTCTCAGAGCTGAACATTTCTGGTTATGTATGGTGTATAACTTGGACAAATACTTACTATTTTAAAGTATTTTCACATGTTTGTCTCTTTACCAACATTTCCTTCATTTACCATTATTCTCTTGCATTGAAACACTTGTGGTAACAGAGGTAATGGCCCCAGATAGCCATCGATCTACATTACCCTCCATGACCCGGCTGTGTTTACAGTACTTGGCTACACACTTTCCCCTCACAACTTTCTTGGGAAATTCCAAATTACTTTTCAAGATATCTATGTATGATTGCTATTTGAAAATGCTACTTATAGGATGATTAACTCTCTGTAATACCTGGAATAAATGGACCGGACATTGAGCATAGATATGCCTTTGAACTAGCAGTATTTTCAAAAGAGCAGTCCAAGTGATGTACCATTTAAACGGCTTAAAGTCAAGATTGTCACTGCCATCTTTGGGAGAGGTCCACTATTTATAGGGTAAGTAGGCCTTTAAATATGTCTAAATAACTATTTCATAAAATATGTTGTTATCAATATTGACATGGTACAACATTCATGATGTTTAATGAATTGTGTTTGTCTTGTTGTAGGAATGCTGAGCATTCCTTTGGCTTTGAAATGGACAAACTGGTTTTCTGGTGAGCAAAGACTTCATTAATAATGACATTAGGCCCTATATTACAAACCAACATGTTTCCTTACTGTAAAGCAATATACTCATGTAAAAAGACTGTATATACATTTGTGGTTCAAAAATATTTGTTAAATAAAGTTTCTTATTTGAGATAAAGTGTGTCCGGTTATTTTACAAATATGAAATGTGTTCAAGTTTGTGGAGTGGACGGAAGGAGACTTCTACAGCTTGTTGTGCAAAAATGAATCTACAGAAACTGGAAGAGTAAAGTTTGTTGCAATACTGATGTATCACAAAGCCTTGGAAAAATAGTTTTTAAAATCCTCTTTCATTCATAAATTGTATGGACTTGCTATTACAAATACAATAAGTGTTGTGCACCTAGCAGTAGGCCTTGCCTGAAGAAACTTTATAATCATTTAACAAACAGTTGAAGGGGACGTGTCGTTTATGGTTTGTTGACAAACTTTTAGAAGCTTTATAGCAGCATTTGATAAAACACAAAACAAATTACCTGCTGTTGTTGACCAAGTGCATTCATTGTCATTTTCCCCAATCTTCTAACATAAACCGAACATAAAAGCGAACACACTATGACCGCAAATGCAGGAGACGATAGTAACCGGAAGTCGGATTTCAGTTTTCCGCAGTTCCGATCACTGGGTGTATTCGCGCGCGCCGACAACACATGGCCAGGAACGGAAGACAATGAAATGGACTTAAACTAATAACGCGTTGAAGAAAATGATTTGCTTGATGACATCGAAGCATCGAGAAGTAATTTCGTGACTAACTCAAATCACGTCATTGTATTATGCAATACATCAGTATCACGATGAAACGGCACAGCGTCAAAACGGCAGAAAAACCTTCTTGCCAAATAAGGCACCATATATTGCACGTCATAAGAAATAGAAGAGTGTACACGGGACTTCATTCACCGTGTAATAATTCCACATTATATTCTGAAATTTAGATTCTACATATATTATACATGGATCTACTGGACTGCTGTTTTATGTGATCTTCGACACAATGCCTGCGTTTAGGATTGAGTGTGCCTGGGTGCGTGACGGTGTGGGAGCCACTTCAGGCCAAACAACAGGATAACTTTGATCCCAGATCAACACGGTGCAAAGGAATTTTGTAGCAGACACCTATACTGTGTAACTGAAGATAAAACAAATTGTAATTTACATGTGGTGCTAGACTAACATATAGTCTCTGAAATGAACATATCGTACAGAAAAAAACAGTTGTTCAGTTATCTTAATAAAAATCTAATAAAAAGGGAGCCCAGTGATTCTCTTCATTCCTGATACTGCAGTAATCTAGACTTGCCAAACATTATAGACTTGCATGGGCTGTAGTTGATATAAATGTATCAGGGTCTGTAAGACAGACTAATGTGGTGCCTTCAAAATCAGGAATGACAATATGGCACATTTAAGTTTAAATAATTGTGTAATATAAAGAGTAGAAAACAAACTTAAAAACAAATAATGAAAACGAAACTAGTGATATGTTTTCACAATAACTTTCTGAAATATTTGTTATTGTTTTCTGGGGAATCAAGTTGACACAATCGTAGTGATATACATACTACTGCGGACAATAATATATCTACTGTTGTAAAGTTATTGATATTTTTTCATAATTAATCTTTTCAAAGTCTAAATTATTTATTATTGTAATATTATTTTATAATGAAGTAGACCTATGGAGACATGCAGATGTTGTTAAAATTGAAACCCGCAGCCTTGTAAGTGCGTATGTGATTTTTAACCATGAACCGTACTTCTCTGTGAGAGTAACCTCCCTAATGGTAATATGTTTACTCCTGTAGCCTCACACGTCAGTTATTCACATTGTCCAAAGGTGCTAATATCTCGCCACACAGAAACTGGGTCAACGTTTCCCGCACATAGTCATATGCTGTAGGCCTGTCCCCGACGCTCCCGACAGACCTCGCTACACGAAAATGGGTCAACGTTTCCCGCGTGGCCATCCGTCATATCCCAACTGCCAGCAGTACAGTCAACGTCTATGCCGTTACAAGCATGCTGTGTCACGATATGGAACCGCTGAACGGTAGATCTGAATCTTACTCTCCATTTTCAACGGATCACACCAGAAAAGCAGCACGGTAAAATAAAATTGCAAAGTTTTAGAATAAAAATTGTAGAACATACCAAATAAAATGTGCACATCAGATGTATATATGCCTAATGTACCTACAAGCCAATAATTCATTATGTTGTTTAATGCGATAAATTCAACAATGCAGTTGTTTTGATACTATCCAAGTCAAATTGCATTTTTGACACGATTCTTCGTTTACATAGTTTCTATGATGTTCACTGCATTGATTTAACTATTTCTTTTAACTTGATTATCTTTAGGCGTTGAAAGGAGGAATACTAAAAGTCAGCAACCTTGTGATCCGGTTGAACGGATTACGCTGAGGGAATTGTACGAAGCACACTTTTTCATATATGACTGAACACATTACAATTTTGAGTAATTGCTTTTTAAATAGTTTTATACAATTATGTAAATGCAATAGAATTCATCCATATGCGTCCTGGAGGGTGTGATAATCATGTCCATGATGTTTACTGCTTAGTTGCCTTAACTATTTCTTTTATCTTGATTATCCTTAACGGTGAAAGGAGATAAAAGGAAAGTCAGCAACCCGGTGATCCTGTTAAATGGATTACGCTAAGGGCATTGAACGAATCACACATTTTTCATAATACATAATGCAACCCTCGTTCAATGATTAATTCGCTCAATCGCTTAAAATGTAAATGATGTAATTTGTTCAATACATTTTAAGGATATGCCTCTTTCTGTCCCCACAGCTAGTTAATGAGAACGAATTGAGTTTTCTTACTTCAACATATCTTTCAGCTTCAAATGAGGGTTTCTTTTATTAAAATAATATATGCTATTATGAGCAAAATCCTGTTGTAAGTAATATTTCCAGGATCGTGTGTTTTGACAGCCATATTAGTGTGCAAAAAACTTAAAAAAATGGATAGAATAGAACTGTCCTTGGAGCCCTACATTCTTGAATTATCTTCTAAAGAATGGTTTTGTTTTGTCTTAATTAAAGCATTAACTATCTTTATCTGTTTCCTACAACAACAAAAATATATTTAACATTGACTGAAATGTGCACAGTCTTTTTATATTTAAATCTACACAGCAGTTAGCGAATCATATTATGGCAAGCCGTTTTCACATTTATTACGGAATTACAGATATCTTCAATTCTTTTAAAGATATCATGAATTGAATTGAAGATATCTTCAATTGAATTGAAGATATCGTGAATGGAATTGAAGATATCGTGAATGGAATTGAAGATATCGTAAATGGAATTGAAGATATCGTGAATGGAATTGAAGATATCGTGAATGGAATTGAGGATATCTTAAATACAGATAATTGTAGATATCTGCAATAAAACTTAAGATATCACGAAATGAATTTTAAGGATATGGTGAAGCGTATTATTGATATCTTGAAAAGAATGGCTGATATCGTAAATTCGATTATTGATATCAAAATATGATTTAAAGATATCAAAATGTCATGTTTTGTTATGATGTCAGTAATTCAATTCCTGATATTTCGAAACTAAATACAGATATCAATAACTAATTATTGATATCTTCAATTGTTGCCATTATTAAAGATGTTACATTAATAATGTTACTTAAACTGATATCAATAATGGATATAAAGATATCATCAGATTTATTATTGATATCTTTAATTTGATTTTTAATATCAGTAACGTTCAGAATTTATGATATCTTGAATTTAATTAACGATATCTCTAATTTAATTAAAGATATCTTTAATTGAATAAAAGATATCTGTAATGCATTTGTGGATATGTATTACTCATTTCAAGATATCTTGAATTGAATTTAAGATATCTTGAATTTATTTCTAATATATTTATATGTACAGTAGGATGGTAATTGTTTAATGATATCTTAAATACATTTAGAGATATCACAAACTAATTTGTTGATATCACCGTAATATTTTAAGATATCAGTAATTGTATTATGGATATCAGAAATGAATTTAAGATATCTTTAATTATATTTTGATATCTTAAAAACATTATTGATATCTTTAAATAAAATACCGATATCTTTAAAACAATTGAAGATATCTGTAATTCCGTAATAAATGTGAAAACGGCTTGCCATACTGTATGTTGATTTCGTAACGCTATTTTGATTGCACAATACAAAGACTTGTTAGTCCAGCCAAAACATTACTCCAAAATTCCAGCCTGGTTAGGCAAGGGTGGAAAATTCATTTGTCTCAGGAAGATGGTAGATCACAGCAAACTTGTCCATTATTTACAACAACCACGATGTGATTAACGCAATTGATGCCCTGAAATGAACCTTAGAAGTTAGAGATACACTGTCTTCCTATCCTTGCATTAAAAATTCCTTTCGGTTATGATATTGGGCATTTTTTAAAGTGAATCACCAAAAGATGGGGGAGAAAATGTATGATGTACAGCTGATTGTTATTTCCGGCTTATTTTACGAGACAATAAAACACAGTTATATCAATATCTGCACAATAAAAATAATGCCTAGCATAAATACAAATGAAGTTTTAAATCATCATGTACGGTGATGTTTTATCGCAAATTTCACATTTTCATTGAAAAGGTTTGCAAATGGCAAAACAATCACACAAACTCCTACTGCCGGCATGTTCAAAACACTAAATCAGTGCGCATGTAATATGATGAAAAGAAAAGTAACTTTGCGCATTATTAGATCGGGTTAATTCTAGGATTGCAGCATTCACTGTGTTCGAGACGTGTATTATTTAGCGATAATGGTATTAAGAAACGAAAATGTCCTGCAGACAGTGCCTGAGAACCAAGACGATTAACACAACATTTTGAGTTTGTCATTTTGTCCTTACACTTTAAGAGATACAACAGCAATCTCAGTCCAATATAAATTAATGAAATCATAAATCTAATTATGTCAGGCTGGAGGTATTTTATTGTTATAAAACAGCTTGTTGAACATGTTTAAGGTATCTGTGTACCTTAACCAAAGATGTATGTGAGTCGTGTGAAGCTTAAAAAATGAAACAACGCAACCTTTCATCTGATAAGGTTTGGTTTGAGTTGTTGTTTAACGCCGCACTCAGCAATATTCCAGCTATATGACGGCGGTCTGTAAATAATCGAGTCTGGACCAGACTATCCAGTGATTGACATCATAATGATCGATCCATGAAATTGGCTTTCGTTGATGCAAAGTGGGTCATAGGGAGGGGTGAAAATCTAATAAATCATATAATAAGGTCTAACTACAGGTCCAAACAGTTCCAGTAAAATCTTATATATTTTTTTTTATTTGTATATTTATCCTGCATTAATCCCTCATGCATTTACTGCTTGTTCTTGAGAGTGAGAAGGATCTGTGAGGTCTTGCTGAAGAGCTTGTTTCAATTGGCTGAGTGGCTAACCCTATCACACAGCTCCCATGTGACCACAGATGGGGTGACGACACAGATCAACACATTACTGCTAAACGGGAACATCTAAAGTCATCATGAGGAGGTAGCTCTGCGACGGGTGGGCCACTTTAGACGTAGTAATGCAGG